ATTATATATATATATATATATATATATATATATATATATAAATATTAATATATTTTGACATAAGTTAAATATTGAATTTGGTGATTAATGTGTAGAGAAAATTTCTTGAAAAGTGTATTCTAGTCATAATTATATGTTTTTATTATAACCATTGACACGCATCCCTTAGTGTCAATCTAAGATCCGAGGTTAAAAATATCATAATATTTATATAGCTATAAAATCTTTTTAAGTAAAATAAAAAGTTTAAACTAAATTGTTTCTAAAATTAAAAAAAAAATCATTCTTTGTGAAACCGATTAAAAGAGAATAAATTCATATAAATTAAAATAAATGGAATAGTAACATAAAGTGAAAGCTTTTACAATGGAATTAATATTTTTGTGTTTTATAATTCCAGAACCAGCTATTCAAGGAACAAATTTCTCTTCTTAAAGACGAGGTAAAAATGCATTAGAATATAAAATCAGTTTTTTTATTTTTATTTTATTTACATTTCAATTTTTTTAAAAAAAATTAAGAAAATCGCGTAATAATTATTTTATTATAATTCTCCTTTGGTTCTTTTGTCCCAGGAAAAAGTCCTAATGAATAAAAATGCAGAATTGCGGGAAAAGGTGAAATATAACTTTATAATTCGCTTTTTATATTTAGCAACTTCTCATTTTTTAAGATTAATTAAAATTGATAAATTAGGACACATAAAATAAGAAGAAATGAAATAATATTAAGATTAATTAAAATTGATAAACTAAGACACATAATTTTTAAGAATTAATATTAAGATTATATAATTTTTACTTTGTTATTACAGTATGAGGCTCGATCACTACCTTTATTTATTGATCGACGAGAAGATGAAAGTCCTCAAACACAAAATATGGAGGTAGATACACAACTATTTATTGGACTTCCTGAAAGATGAATAAAGATGAAGTCAAGATTTAAAATTTATAAATTCGAGAAAGTTTATTTATTTGAATTATTATATTCTAAATTAACAATTTATACCTATTCAACCGTTTTGTTTAAACAAATATAGAATTATTTATATACTAGTACCGCTTCATCTATTACAAGCTTTTGTGACTTCCATGTAATTTACTTGATGACAAAAAAACAATATAAAAAGTAAATTAATCATCAATATTTTTACGTAAGCACCACTAATATCATCTTAATGAAAGGTTAGCCATCTTAATGTCAAGAGGATTAAGATCTTGTAAATTTGAGAGGATTAACTAATGGTAACTTAATCTATGTGATCTTATTTTAATCTTAGATCTAGTTGGTTCATTGTTTAAGAAACACCAAATTTGATGCATTATCTTCATTTGTGAAGACTCAGCAAAATTGTTTACCTTGTATATATATTGGTAATGTAAAAATAAAATTATTTTCACGAAACATAGGCAAAATTAGAATTTAAAATTTATAGTTTCGTTACTTGATCCCCCCAAAAGGGGGAAACTATGGTTGAACTTAAATTTTAAAAATAAGTTAGGGGCCCTTTACCAAGTCTACCAGATAGAAGATGATAGAGGGACAAAAGTACAAGGAAGATTGGTTGAAGATGATGTTATGCGGCGTTCGGAACCAGCCTTAGCTTGAAGTGAATGATGATTTATAAAGAAGTAGGGAAATGAGACGACTCTTTCTTGAACTATATCATAAACAAATGTTCTCATGTACATCAATCACGAGTTTTTCTCTATTCCTTGACTGCAAGACCCACCCGTCGAGCAGGGATGAAAGTCGGCCTTAGTGATCCGCCGCCGCCGAATGAAATGGTCGTCACTCAACGGATAAAATTTACTATAGGGATAACAAGTCAATCTTCCCCAAAGGTTCACATTGACGAAAAAGTTTGGCACCTCGATATCGGCTCTTCGCCACCTGAGGTTGTAGCATGTTCCAGGGGTCGGGTTGTTCCCCATTAAAGTGGTATCTGAGCTGGGTTCCATATGTTGAGAGATAGTTTGGTACATATCTGAAGTGAATGTTAAAGCATTGAGAAGACCTTTCCCTAGTCCGAGAGGACTGAGAAGGACGCACCTCTGGTGTACCAGTTATCACGTTCACGATAAATGTTTGGGTAGCCAAATGCGGAGCAGATAAATGCTGAAAGCATCTAAATAGTATAGTCCACCCCAAGCACTTTCATATTCATATTAAGAATTAAATTTGCAATCAAATAGTTATAAATATTTACTATAGATTTTTATTTAATATTTAAACAGAAGTTTGAACAAAAATTATTTAATAAGAAATTGTATCTATATATTGATATACTATAAATTGTTGCAATAGGGTATCTGAACAATTTTTTCACTTTTATAAGATTTTGCCAGTAATTTTTAAAAATGAATGATACACATTCAAACTCTAAACAAGTTAGAAACTTCAAATATCTTTAGGCCTTAAATCAATTATATAAATATATATAATTAGAAACATTGCTTCTTTAATTTATGGAAATGACACTACTATTTTGTGTAGTCTAATAGTAGAGTTGCACCTCCATTTGTAGTATATATATTGTAACAAATGTACAATTAAATAATATTCTTATTTACCTATAGTGGAATTGTTTAACGAGAAAATATTGATTGACACCCTTTAAATACATTTGACTCCATTAACGATTACAATTACATCATCGTCAAAGTATCCCGATCTGAAAATACCAAGTTAGTTAGGGTTAAAGATGAAAAAAATAGTTCCATAGGTATTTGAAAATAATTAAAACATGCTTGTTTTGTCTTTTTATTTTTATTTTTCAAACTTGTATCATTGTCCTTCATATTCCATCCTTGTATTGAGTTTCTTTTAAGTCCATACATTGAACCTAAATTGTACTATATGGTAAGATATATTAAGTCCAACTAAGTTTTTATTTATTTGAATTACTATATTCTAAATTAATAATTTATACCTATTCAACCGTTTTATTGAAATAATAAATATAGAATTATTTATATACTTGTACCGCTTCATCAATTACAAGCTTTTGTGACTTCCATGTAATTTACGTGATGACAAAAAATAATATAAAGAGTAAATTAATCATCAATATTTTTACTTAAGCACCACTAATATCATCTTAATGAAAGGTTAGCTAATCGACTAAAACAAATGTCAAGAGGATTAAGATCTTGTAAATTTGAGAGGATTAACTAATGGTAACTTAATCTATGTGATCTTATTTAATCTTAGATCTAGTTGGTTCATTGTTTAAGAAACACCAAATTTGATGCATTATCTTCATTTGTGAAGACTCAGCAAAATTGTTTAATGTAAAAATAAAATTACTTTCATGAAATATAGGCAAAATTAAAATTTAAAATTTATAGATTCGTTACTTGATCGCCCAAAAAGGGGAAGCAATGGTTGAACTTAAATTCTGAAAATAAGTTGGGGCCCTATACCAAGTCTACCAGATAGAAGATGATCGAGGGACAAAAGTACAAGGCAGATTGGTTGAAGATGATGTTATGCGGCGTCCGGAACCAGCCTTAGCTTTAAGTGAATGATGATTTATAAAGGAGTAAGAAAATGAGACGACTCTTTCTTGAATCATATCATAAACAAATGTTCTCCATTACACCAATCATGAGTTTTTCTCTATTCATTGACTGCAAGACCCATCCGTCGAGCAGGGATGAAAGTCGGTCTTACTGATCCGACGACGCCGAGTGAAATCGTCGTTACTCAACGAATAAAATTTACTATAGGAATAACAAGTCAATCTTTCCCAAAAGTTCACATTGACAGAAAGGTTTGGCACCTCGATATCGGCTCTTCGCCACCTGAGGTTGTATCATGTTCCAGGGGTTGGGTTGTTCCCCATTAAAGTAGTATGTGAGCTGGATTCAGAATGTTGAGAGATAGTTTGGTCTATATCTGAAGTGAATGTTAAAGCATTGAGAAGGTCTTTCCCTAGTCAAGTGCGGAGCAGTTAAATGCTGAAAGCATCTAAAATAGTAAGTCCACCCAAAGTACTTTCATATTCATATTAAGAATTAAATATTTACAAATATTTACTATAGATTTTTATTTAATATATAAACAGAAGTTTGAACAAAAATTATTTAACAAGGAATTGTATTTATATATCAATATACTATAAATTGTTGCAATAAGGTATCTGAACAATTTTTTCACTTTTATAAGATTTTGCCAGTAATTTTTTAAAATGAATGATACACATTCAAGCTCTAAACCAGTCAGAAACTTCAAATATCTCTAGGCCTTAAATCAATTATATAATTCTTTAATTTATGGAAATGACACAACTATTTTGTGTAGTCTAATAGTAGAGTTGCACCTCCATTTGTAGTATATATATATTGTAACGCATGCGCAATTAAATAATATTCTTATTTACCTATAGTGGAATTGTTTAACGATAAAATATTGATTGACACCCTTTAAATACATTTGACTCCATTAACGATTACAATTACATCATCGTCAAAGCGTCCCAATCTAAAAATACCAAGTTGGTTAGGGTTAAAGACGAAAAAGAATAGTTCCAAGGGTATTTGAAAATAATTAAAACATGCTTGTCATGTCATTTTATTTTTATTTTCCAAACTTGTATCATTGTCCTTCATATTCCATCCTTGTCTTGAGTTTTTTTTAAGTCCATACATTGAACCTAATTTGTACTATATTATATGGTAAGATATATTAGTTTGTAAAAATTTAAGAAATCCCATAGTGTAATTCAATAATTACATTCTGTCCCGACAAATTTAGTATTTACAAAAAATCCCTTAAATTTGTTGTTCTGTGATACTTTAGACTCTAGTGATACATGGTAAATGATACATAAGTAAGTTTAAACTGTTGAGAAAAAAAATGGGGAAAAAACGGTACAATTAATGTTGTTACTAAAACAGCTTAATTTAAGGTAACAGATCATTAATCACCATAAAATCAGCACGTAATTGGATATTGATTTCAAATTTTGAAAATCAAAATTATATCATCTATTTTGAAAACATTTTTTATGAACAATCTGTTAAATTTTGAACTACATTAATTTTATTGTTGTTAAAGTGGATTTTTCAAGATGAATACTTCGATTTTGATGATTCATTGAAAGAAGAATTCAGCTATCCAGAAAATGGTACTATCAAGATTGAGGCTTCATCATCATCATCATCCCCTACACCATCTAAGGAATCATCATCTTCGCCTGAGTCTGATATTACTTTCTTGGATTTCGATGAATCAGAAAACTTCTTCTTACCCAAGTACCCTTCCGTGGAGATTGATTGGGCAGCTCTTTGATACTTTGTTGTAGTATTACTTTGTTTTTTTTGTTTTTATAAAAAATATATCATGTATGGTGTCAGGTATGGCCTCCTGCAATGGTGTTTTGACATTTGCAGAGGTTGGTGTAGTAGTGAATAGAGTCATGTAGAGAGCCATGTAATAGTAAAGGTCACTCACTCTCCATCTTGTTCATGCTGTGGTTTTTGTATATGCATTGAACCAAAAGGGAGAGACTTTGTATCATGTATGTGTCTTGTTCATTTCTTAGCTTAATATAATCATATCTAATGTTTTAGTATGTATCTAAACTTGTGCTATTATATCAACAAACAATCTTTCAGTATTCCCAAAAACAAAGAATCCACTTAGCTAGTCAAGTAAAATAAGGCCCAAACATGAAGATTATTGAAGTGAATATTGAAAATTTGAGGTAAATTATTAGTTTTATTTTTAAATAGTGACAGAAGTACCCCGTTTACTTAATTTTGATATAATTTGTTTCGTGATATATTAAGTGACTTTTAAATTTTGTAAAATCGAGAAACTCATAAGTGTTGAATTCACTAGTACTTTTCAGGTAAATCATTGGCAAAAAACAGTAAGGTAAGAGAGGTTTTCAATAAATAAATATATTTTTTTACTTGCTAGTAGTATCATGTTTGCAATTGAGTATACATCGGATGATCAGAATCATTAAAAACAAAAAGTAAGAAAACTCAAAAAAAACATGATTATTTTTCACTCATGCTCCTCTTGTCATTGGATCTCTCCTATTCCTAAGTCCTAACTACAT